GTGAATATCTAGGTATACACCAAGATGGCGAGGCCTATATCGGCGTGTGACGTCACCTGACGCCACGCATGCATGGCGTCATGTGACCTCATGCTCCCCGCCTCCAAGATGGTGGCACGCATTCGCATGGCCCCGCACATTCTCAAACAAATGATTATGTGCCCGAATACATTTTTCGTATATTCGGGCATATAATAATTCATTAATTTAACATGTAGTCTAGGTTTTTTGTTCTGTTTTTTATTTTTACTTTTCTAGATACACTAACTTGAAAAAAGGGTCTGCATGACATCCTGACACTTTATTTTTATAGACTGCATTTTAGTTTAACATTTATTGTTTTCTTGTTTTCCTACAGTTGTTTCATTTAATAAGAATACTTATATTGTGCCTACAAGTTTAATACCTTTGAATAAAAGTTTTATTTTTATCATACTTTTTAATGTTTTTTTGGGGCTTAACAAAAAGTGATTTTTATTGGAAAAAATGGGTGTGGTTACTAAGGGGTGTGGTCACTGAGGGGCGCTGTAAAGCTTTCTTGCAAAGGACGCCTAAAGGCCTAAAGCCGGCCCTGCTGTTACCAATTGAAAATATTTGGGGCATCTTAAAACGAAAAATACGACAAAGAAGACCCAGGACTGTTGAGCAGTTAGAATCCTATATCAGGTAGGAATGGGACAACATTCCTGTCTTAAAACTCCAGCAACTGGTCTCCTCAGTTCCTCCTCAATCACTGTTCTCAGATGCTACACCTTGGTAAACATGGCCCTGTCCCAACTTTTTTGAGACATGTTGCTGCCATCAATTTCAAAATGACCTTATATTTTTCTTAAAATGATACATTTTCTCAGTTTAAGCATTTGATACGTTTTCTATTGCTGATAAAATATGGGTTTATGAGATTTGCAGATCATTTCATTCTGTTTTTGTATAGATTTTACACAGCGTCCCAACTTTTTCGGAATAGGGGTTGTATTTTCTTCATTGCAGAGGAGTTGGTTCATGCTTTAGGTGTTCACATTGCATCCTAAGTGATGTGAACACTTCCTATTAGCTGTCCAGTGCAGGGTATCTCTCAGTGTCCAGAAAACTGCTATGGAGTGATAGCACCATAAACAGATGATGATGGGCATGACCTTTCTAGTGATTAGCTAATGGGGTAGATAGGAGTAGTAGACTTCTTTTTTTCCCAGAGATCATCTTCAAGGAGCTTGACAGCTATGATTTTCAACAAAATCTATGCCAACTCTGATTATGTTGGAAGAGGGGTTGCCTCGATTCATTCAGATGGCTTTCTCAGCTTTAAGGGAACACCAATATGTTAGCTCTTTTAACATAAATGGTAAAGTATAATTCAGGTCCATGGTTTAGCTTGGCCTAATGTAAGTATGCATATATATATATATATACCTGCTCAGCCCAAAGGAATCCTGGAAAACACTGTAGTAGCTGGAGCTACTACAGTCTTTTACATCGATCTTCTGGGTCCTGTGAAAACACAGGGGGTCGCTCTCTTGGCACTGCAGCCATTCAAAGAACATCTAGTATTTTATCAATTAATGCAAGGTGTTCTCTGATTTGACAAGAGGTGGTGATGTCACGATCCACCCTTTATCCAATTGCAGAAAAGTGGGCATGTGAGACCTCTGCAGAGCAACCACTGCTTTCACAGAGAACAGGGGGAGATAGTCAAAGCTTCTTTTTTTAAGCAGCGTTTACTTGAGGATCATCGTCCCTGGACACAAACACTTTGCAGTAGTCTGGAGGTAATCGCAGGGATCCCGACCTGAAAAAAAGCAATTTCAGGGAGGTGCCCTTCTCATTTCAGGGAGCAGCCCCCTGAAATTATGGCAGATAGCACGGGAAGCAAAAGCTTCTGTGCTATCTGCTGGTTTTTCTTTTCTTTTTAGTATTCTGACAGCTGCTGCCGTCAGAATAATAATAAAAAAAAACAGCATAGGAATGCATAGCTAGATTGCTATTGGCTATTTCAATTTGCAATATCCAATAGCAAGGTAGCTATTGCACCCTTCCCTCTGCTGCTGTCAGTCACTAGAAGAGGACCTGATGGAGAACTTCGGGTCCCCCCTCTGCTGATTGACAGCAGCAGAGGACGGGTGCA